CCCGCAGGCAACATCACGTGCAGCCCCGACGAGTTCACCTGCTCCAGCGGCCGCTGCATCTCCAGGAATTTCGTCTGCAACGGCCAGGACGACTGCAGCGACGGCAGCGACGAGCTGGACTGCGCGCCCCCGACGTGCGGTGCGCACGAGTTCCAGTGCAGCACCTCGTCCTGCATCCCCCTCAGCTGGGTGTGCGACGACGATGCCGACTGCTCCGACCAGTCGGACGAGTCCCTGGAGCAGTGCGGCCGCCAGCCGGTGATGCACACCAAGTGCCCGGCCAGCGAGACCCAGTGCGGCTCCGGCGAGTGCATCCACAAGAAGTGGCGCTGCGACGGGGACCCCGACTGCAAAGACGGTAGCGACGAAGTCAACTGTCGTAAGTAGCCTTCTTATCGGTCCGGCCTGCTCCGCGCCCGCCCCGCGCGTCCGCCTGGACGGCTTGGCTGACCCTCCCCTGTCCTTGCCGCCCCCTCCCCCGCCCCCTTCCTGCAGCTTCGCGAACCTGCCGCCCTGACCAGTTTGAGTGTGAGGACGGGAGCTGCATCCACGGCAGCAGGCAGTGCAACGGTATCCGGGACTGTGTGGACGGCTCCGATGAGGTCAACTGCAAAAATGGTGAGGGGCTCCTCCTGGGGGTGAGTCAGAGGACTGCCCGGAGCAGCCCCACCAATGGACTCCTTGCTTTTGTGTTTCTCTTTGTAGTCAATCAGTGCTTAGGCCCTGGCAAGTTCAAGTGCAGAAGTGGGGAGTGCATAGATATCGGTAAAGTATGTAACCAGGAGCAGGACTGCAGGGACTGGAGTGACGAGCCCCTGAAGGAATGTCGTAAGTGGAGGGGTTGCGTGAGCCCAGAGTCGGGAAGGGTCATGACATTGCCCCTAACTAATGCAGTGTGCACCCCCCGCACAGTGCCTGCTCACACTACTTTTAAGGAACCGAGTTCAGTTGCTGGGCTTCAGAGTGGCATTTTTAAGCCTTAGAAGTTGGAGCAGTGACAAACTAGTTCATAGCTTTACCTCCTTAAAGATAACCGATCAGCAATAGAGACACTTGACTCAGTACTATTTAGCCAGCTGGTAACCTGCCAAGGAGATTGGGTTTACTCTTCCCCCAAACCCTCCGAGATGCGTATCTTGAAGACAGATTATTAGACCTTAGGAAAGTCACGGGTTTGACCAGACTAACTAGATAAGTTATTGCAAAAAGCCCAGAGTTTAAATGTTAATTGGGGCAAATATCAATTTGGAATAAGGTGTGGGGTAACCCTGGTCCCTTTCTATTTCAGATGTAAACGAATGCTTGGTCAATAATGGTGGCTGTTCTCACATCTGCAAAGACCTCGTTATAGGCTACGAATGTGACTGCGCAGCTGGGTTTGAACTGATAGATAAGAAAATCTGTGGAGGTGAGTCCAGGAGGGAGCCTCAGCCCTTGTGCAGGGGGGGTGGGGGGGGCGGGGAGAGATAGGAAAGGACAGTATCTTGCTCTAAGTCATCTAGGCACAAAAGACTAATCCTAATTTCCCTCCTAGATATTGATGAATGCCAAAATCCGGGAATCTGCAGCCAAATTTGTATCAACTTAAAAGGCGGTTACAAGTGTGAATGTAGTCGGGGCTATCAGATGGATCTTGCCACTGGCGTGTGCAAGGCAGTAGGTAAATGGACTTGGACTGGTGTTGCTCTGGTACCTTTGGGAGTAAGTGCTTACCAAGGGTACAGCCAGTGACCCCAAGAGTCAACTAAATTATGGAATTAAAGTAGTACAGCTCTTCCTCGACTTATGATGGGGTCACAATCTTAATAAACCATTGTAAGTTGAAAATATCCCAAGTCAAAAATGCATTTAATATACGTAACCTACCAAATATCATTGCTTAGCCAAGCCTGCCTTCAGTATGCTCAGAACTCTTACGTCAGCTTATAGTTGGGCAACATCATCTAACACAAGCCCAGGAAGTGTTGAATGTCGTATGTAACGTATCAAGTACCGTACTGAAAGTGAAAAGCAGAACGGCTGTATGGGTATACATGGGCGTCAGCGCATCGGCTGTTCACGTCCTCGTGATCACGGGGCTGACCAGGAGCTGCGACTCGCTGCTACCACCCAGCATCGTGGGAGAACATCACAAGAGAGGATGGTAGCACATATCACTGACCTGGGAAAAGATCCCAACTCTAAATTCAAAGTGGGGTTTCTACTGGACGCAAACTGCTTTTTTACCATCATAAAGCTGAAAAATCCTAGGTCGAACCATCCTGAGTCCGGGACTGTCTCTCCTTGAGATCAGTAACTCCCAGTGCAGTATCACAGGTCAAACAAAAGAGCTTTTCCCTAGACACCTGCCTTGGTCAGTTTCTTTTGCATAGGATACCGTGAATACCTACCAGGTGCAGTCACTTCCTGCTTCCAAAACTTGAATGCAATCCCAGTAAGTAACTTAGTCAACAGCTGCTTAGAAACTGTTCTGGGCTGGTCAGCCACCCTACTGTTGAGTGTTGTGACCCCAGGACTGCCTTCTTGAACAGTCGGAAGTGTTTACAGTTCCCGGGGGCACGGACTGCAGCAAGCATCCTCCTCAGGTGTTTGGCGGTGCCTTTACTTTTTAAGTGCTCCTCCTTTGGGAGGAGGAGACTTAGAAGGACCTTGCCTTCTTACCGTGAAACTAAATAAACCTGACTGCTATCTTGCAGGCAAAGAGCCAAGTCTGATCTTCACGAATCGAAGAGACATCCGGAAGATTGGCTTGGAGAGGAAGGAGTATATCCAGCTGGTTGAACAGCTAAGAAACACTGTCGCTCTTGATGCAGACATCGCTGCTCAGAAACTGTTCTGGGCTGATCTCAGCCAGAAGGCCATCTTCAGGTAACTTCAGTTCCCTGCTTAGGGTCTCAGCCTAAGTCCTTGGTCTTTGGGAAGGTTTGGAGGAGTTTCTAGCGCCACTCTAGCATCTACTTAGCTGGGACTCTTAACTCTGGACACTGATTGGGCGCCTGGGTGGCTCAGTTGGTTAAGCGACTGCCTTCGGCTCAGGTCATGATCCTGGAGTCCCGGGATCGAGTCCCGCATCGGGCTCCCTGCTCAGCGGGGGGTCTGCTTCTCCCTCTGCCCTCTTCCCTCTCGTGCTCTCTATCTCTCATTCTCTCTCTCTCAAATAAATAAATAAAATCTTTAAAAAAAAAAAAAATCTGGACACTGATTGATTCTTCAACTAGTAAGTTACTATCAGCTCCTCACTGGAGACTAACAATTGTGTACGAAGGAAAAGGAGGCCGTAGCTATAGGATTATCACAAAGGGCATCTTAGTTTCTCCTCTTGTCACCCCATTCTTTCTAGTTAATTGACAGCTTTTCACAGTGGCTACCAATAGGAAATGGTAGTGACGGCGTTTTCTTAAGGGGAACTCTAGAAACTCAGATGGTATCTCCTGCAACCAACACCTTCACTTAGAAATGGGTCAGTCTTGCTTATCGAGTACACACCAGCAGCTAAATAATGGACATTCTTAGTTAGTATCAGCAAGAAGCATAGTTAAATGATCTGAGTGGTGAGCTCTGGTGTTACTCGAGTTTCTTCTCAACAAAGGTGTGGACCATTTTGTAAACAGAAAGTCCATTCTCCAGGCTCTGATGGTGTCAAACTCTTAAATTTCTTGTGACCTATTCTGTTTCAGTGCCTCAATTGATGACAAGGTTGGTAGACATGTTAAAATGATCGACAATGTCTATAATCCCGCGGCCATTGCTGTCGATTGGGTGTACAAGACCATCTACTGGACTGATGTGGCTTCTAAGACCATTTCAGTAGCTACCCTTGATGGAACCAAGAGGAAGTTCCTGTTTAACTCTGACTTGCGGGAGCCTGCCTCCATAGCTGTGGACCCACTGTCTGGGTTTGTAGTCTGTTTTTTCTAGCCTTTTGGGTGCTATCTGCATATGCCAGGAGCTTTCCTCCTGGCTGAAACAGTACTGAAATCCCAAGACTTACGGCTCCCCACAACAGAGAATTATCCAGTTCAAGAGGTCAGTGGTATCACGGTTGAGTAAGTCCGCTCTCTTCCAGGCCCTCCCTGGCAGTATGAGCGCTGACTGACGTTAACGTGTTTGACTTGATGTGCACACAGAACCTGTATCTGAACCCTTATGGCCACCCAGCATCTATGCAAGTTATTTTTAATGTTTGTCTGAACGCTTTGTCAGGTTAGCTCCGGATGACCAAACCTAAGTACTAACATGGGTTGTGAGGATTTTTTGGTAGCCATATTTCCTCAAAGCTTTCATCTAAATGTCCAAGTTGTCTGAAAGTCCAGTTGAAATAAACGGATCTCTCTAGCAACATTTCACCAAGAGGTTGCCCTAAATCGGTGCTAAATAATATAGAAAAACATCTTAGGAAGTTGACTAAGCCTCTAGTAATGACCCCTGACCCCCGGGAATCCTCGCGAGAACAGTCAGCCAAGCCCCTCCGATAAAGCTTAACGTATATTCATCTTTCACTCCTCTGAAAGAATTGGCCTTTTGTAAAGGAAATATATAACCTGTGACTGGGGGTTGAAATACAATTATCACACTTATATAGATTAATATAGTTCATAATAAGCTAAGCCTAGATTCTTAGTGTTAACTTTTGTTTACCCAGAACGTAATTTAGACCGTTGCCTCTTACTGTTGGTCTCCAGAGTTTTCTAGTCATTCTTTAAATGTGTATCCAAAACTACAAGTTTATCCCTTCTAAACCACTGAGGCTCCTTTCTCATTTAATTCTTCCTAGCTTTGTGTACTGGTCAGACTGGGGAGAACCAGCTAAAATAGAAAAAGCAGGAATGAATGGATTTGATAGGCGGGCCCTGGTGACAGTGGACATCCAATGGCCTAATGGAATTACACTCGGTATGTCTGTCCTTCCTTCCTTGGCCACCAATCCAACGGTCCCCGCAGCTTTCGCTTCCCTCCGTAGTTTATTCTGGACTACAGCAGACAGCTCCCATGGTTCCTTCGATAGCAGGAATTGTGGATGAGAGTAACTGAGCAATGCAAATCCAATGGTGGGGTCTTAACATATTAGATGCTCTGTCGTTACTAGCTTTTCTGTCCATTTGGGCCTAATATGGGACATAAATTCAGTGCATCTTGGGCCTTAGGAACTCCCACCCATCAGGGGAGAACAACATGCTCGCCTCTCTTAACACTCCTATAATGTGAATAACATATCTTAAGTCAGCTCCTCTGAGAATCCTAGGTCCTCCTTTAATCCCCCAGAGTGAGTGTGGGTACAGACCCCGCATGCTGCCTCGCAAGGCTCGTGGCACCCCTTTAGGAACCCATGCTGGAGAAGGAGCCCTGAGAATAGAATATCATATTCCCTGGATCTTTTCAGTGGAAACCAGGGCCGTGATGGCGTCTCATGAGCTGACAATTCTTTTCCTCCCCAGACCTTATCAAGAGTCGTCTCTACTGGCTTGACTCCAAGTTGCACATGCTGTCCAGTGTGGACTTGAATGGCCAAGATCGCAGGATTGTCCTCAAGTCTCTGGAGTTCCTAGCTCATCCTCTCGCGCTGACCATATTTGAGGTGAGATGTGTGTGTCACCTCTGAGTGTGGACCTCTGACTTACTAGAGAGCCTCAGGGGAGAAAGGACAGAACAGGAATGGGGCAAGGAGGAATGGGCAGAGGAGCATGACCCGAGAAACTGCTTTCACGTCAGACATGGGACAAATTCAATGCTCATTTCCTATAGCACTTGAAGAAGCCTGAACTTGCATCTCCAACAGTGTAACATCTAACCTCCCAGACCAGTGTTCAATAAATTTGCGCCATTAAACTGCCAGAAAATAACGATGACCTTAGATACGGACTTGTCTTCATCCTCGGTGTTCCTGCTAATTTGAGGGTTCTGTTTTAGGATCGTGTCTACTGGATAGATGGGGAAAATGAAGCAGTCTACGGGGCCAATAAATTCACTGGGTCAGAGCTGGCCACTCTGGTCAACAACCTTAATGATGCCCAAGACATCATTGTCTATCACGAACTCGTCCAGCCATCAGGTAACGGGAACAAGCACAGCCCTCCATCTGGAAGGCCCCTGTAAGGACAGCAGTGTGGTGTAGAACCTGCTTGGTTATCAGTGGCTCTTTAACAACTCAACTTGCTCTAAAATGGAACTTTCCCCTCCAGTCCCCTGCCTCAAACACGTCAAACATGGTGTTTTTTGTTTTGTTTTGATTTCTGACCTCCTAGGGAAGGAGCTTTCAGAACTTCAGCTCTTCCCTTTCTTTCCCACCCTCAGCATTCAGGCTTTTGTTCCAGGCTTTTCCATACCTCCCGGCCTTCAGTCCCTTGTACTAAGACTCTTGCACTGTCCTCCAAAGTAGCTTTTATGCCACCAACTTTTCCTACCTCCCCATCATGACATAGCTTCTATGCAGATCCTCAAACACATCTATCTGGTCACACCAGCTCCTACTCAAAATATTTGACTGTTTCTGTCTAAATGAAACCCTTCAACCTCCCTCTAGCTGGGTTCTGTAAGGCAGAGTGAAGACCAAGGAGGACATGCTCATCTCCTTCCCCTGAATCTTCGCTCTAAGCTTTGGGCCTGTAATGGGTGCCTCCTGCCCCCACCTGCTTCCTCACCACCCACCCGTTCCAGGCATAATCCGTATGCCACTTTCAAGAACTTTCTTTGGATCTGTGGTAGCCTTAGAGCATACTGCCTGTCCTTGTATTTCTTCTTCATCATATTGAACTTGAAGGTTGGACAGAGGAGACAAGTGTAATCTCCCTGGGAACAAAGACTCATGTCTCCAGCATCTAGAATGGGGCTTTAGGTATAGCAGGGACCACAGGACCTCTTTTAAAGGACTTTTGTCTCTGAATAGGTAAAAACTGGTGTGAAGAAGACATGCCGAACGGAGGCTGTGAATACTTGTGCCTGCCAGCGCCACAAATTAATGATCACTCTCCAAAATACACCTGTTCCTGTCCCAATGGGTACAATCTGGAGGAGAAAGGCCGGGAGTGCCACAGTAAGGCTTTTGACTTTTCAACCACCAGCAGGACCTAACAACAGGCAGCAGAATAAGACACTAGCCGTAAACCTAGCCTGGATGTTCAGAATTCTGCTTTCACCGATTCTTGGAAGAGATTTGAGAGTGTATCTGCTGCCCAGTGCAGGCCAGGTTGCTCATGTCATTCCTTCACAACTGACTTCTCACTCACTGCCGCAGTGGGTGAGTCTGTAGGTGACCACAGTGTGAACGGGACTATCCTGATGTGTCCCAGTTAATCCCGCAACAGCACTGAGCTAGCCAACTTGCAGACAACTGAAGTCCTAATGTTTTCCTCCAGAGAGACAGGCCACAGTTACTGGAAACCTTATGGCCCCAGAGGGCGACACCGTCCTAAACTCACACTTACACCCACCTTATTTTCGTCTTCTGTTCTTAGCTTTTGATTGAGTGGCAAATTAAATTCTCACGTTGTGAGCAAGGAGCTCCTATTGTGAGGTTTTTATCAGCTTAATACGGAGTCCCTGCAGGGACTAGCTTGGTTTACTGAGAACGTAATTGCAAGGCAATCTGACAGTAAGACTAGTATGTCTGATACTCTGTCCTCGAGAGCATTTCTGGTAACTTCCAGGACGGTACCGAGAGGGCTAAATGTGAATATGTATCTTTTTGAATTGTCAGATCACAAATGCTGACTGTTCTGGCCCAAGTCTCGTGTGTCTCTGGTTTTGCGTGAAGACTTCCTTTCGGCTTTGACCCGGCAACTTAGCTCAGCGGTGACTTGTCTATTTCCCGTGGGGTTAAAACAACCTTTCGAGGGGTTTGTCTGGATGAAACAGCTAGCCGCTCCGGAACCTTGGCCTTAACCAGCTTCTTGGTCTTTATAATTCAGGTTCTGCAGTTCCTGTGACTTACAGTGAGACAAAAGGTATCCACACAACAGAAATTGCACCAACTAGTGGACTAGTTCCTAGAGGTACTGGGCCCAGTACTGTGCACTGTGAATCTCAACTAACAGCCACACTCTTTGTATTTATTGCTTCCATAATTCATGCAGACCCTGTAACCACTAGTTCTGCCCCTCGCTGGTAACCTACATTTCAGCTCCAAAGCCTGAAAGCCTGCAATTCTTCGCCTGACCCAACTTATGAAGGTTTCTACTAGACAACTCTTAGTGAAATAGCTATTCGAGCGTGTGACTTTCCAATCTTTCTAGACTAGTTGTGCCTGGAATGCAATGCAGTAGGTACTGACCTGCAGTGATGGATGCCAGAGCATGAGGTGCTCCGCCCGATGGGTCCGTTTCTCAGTCTGAATTCACATCCATCTAAATTGATTCCTTTCATTCTTCTGTAGGGATCAATGTGACCACAGCAGTATCAGAGGCCACTGTCCCCCCGAAAGGCACCTCAGCTGCCTGGGCCATCCTTCCTCTCTGTAAGTACCTTCCCCACACATCTGGATAAACTTGTTAGACGCCCACCAAGTGGGCATTTCGAATCCATCTAGAGACACCCCTCCCACCGTCACAGTACTCGTGACCCTGATTACGTGCGCTCCCTCCCCAGCCTGGTACACTGAGTTGAGTCCATACCTTTCTCTTTGATGGTATCCTTGGCACTGTGAGCAGCAGTCATACACACTCAACTATTACATGAAAGGTGCCCATTGCACTCTACCTCAGGGGTGTTAGTCTGGCTAAATACATTCCTTTAGGTAAAGAGCACTGTTTTCTTCCCCTTGGAAAGGTGTAGAATGCTTCATACAGAGGAGACATGCAAATGCTTAAATGCTTTCTTGAGGAGTTGTAGGACTTGTAGAGGGTAAATTAGAAATAGGTAAGAATCCTCAAACTCAGGGGGAAGAACCTCTAGAACAATTACTGGGTGTGGGGATTCTGAGTCCCTATGTGTGCTATAATGGTCACTTTGTCCTGGAACACTGAAGTCCAAACTTAGCAAACACACCTGGGGGACCACTTGAAAAGCTCTCCAGAAAACTCTGAAATTTTCATTCAGTTGGCCTGCGCCGGGGCCCAGAACTCTCCACTTGCCCAAATGGATGTGCTGAGCTTAACACCAGTCCACAGAATAATACTTGATCCCTGGTCTGAACTTGTTTCAAGCTCCTGGCCCATTTATAGTCTAACATCTAGTTATGCTAGCTTCCCACAACATGAAATTTTTATTAACGTCAAGTCTCATGGGTTCCTGAACATGACCTCTTTTTGTATGTTTTGAGACCAGACCCTGCTTAGTCGCCTTCTCACTTTTTCTCAGTGCTCTTGGCGATGGCAGCGGTAGGTGGCTACTTGATGTGGCAGAATTGGCAGCACAAGAACATGAAAAGCATGAACTTTGACAATCCTGTGTACTTGAAGACTACCGAAGAGGACCTGTCAATAGACATTGGTAGACACAGTGCTTCTGTTGGACACACATACCCAGCAGTAAGTCAGCTTTGGGTCTTGATACACCCTGGCTTGCAGTAGGACTTTCTGGAAAGGAGACCACTAACTCAAGCTAAGGCTGCTTGGGCTAGGAAGAGCCATTAGGATCACAGAGCCACCAAATAGATCTACTGCGCCTGGAGATTAGACAGTCTAGCCTGTCAGAACACATGCCAGTCAGTTGATAAGCATCTGTCCCAGAAAGAATGACAAGTAAGTCAACCTAAGGTCATCACTACACTACTGGAGATACTATTGGTTATAGAAACTAGATGTGAATAGTAGCACGAAGCAAGGGGCTCCTATTTGAATTGCCAAGTCAGCTGTCTCCCGGACACTTAAAAGTTTGCACATCCTATGCAAGGGAACAGGGGAGTTGGCTTAAAGTCAGCGTATTGAGCAAGATTCCTTTAGCCATCATTACCAAATGCTTGAAAGTGGCCTATCCTGCCAACTGCAGCTAGCTTCCTTTCAGCAGGGGAGCTAGTCCCTTGTTCTTCAGTTGAAACCCAACTGGAGTATTTGGCCTTCACTTAGGGAACAGTCTGAACAAAAAGAAAGGGGCTCAGCGCTCCCTCTCAAGCTCTCTGGTGAAACAGAGAACGGTGGTCCATTCATGGCCCGCATGTGTCTTTTCCCCATTTTTCTCCAGGATTTACGATCATTCAGTGGAATGGCAGCATGAGCTCCACTATTTTCTCTCTCTCCCAAGTAGACACCATTGAATTCAAGTGAAAACGCACCAGTGACACAACTCAGTACTGCGTTAGATCTGACTTCCCTTCCATGTCCCTTCGGTCTCTGGATGACACACTCAAAAGCAAGGTCCATCGGAGAGACTGGAGTGAGTACCACCACTGAGTGATCACCACGCTCATCCTGTACTTTTTCTCTTCCACAGATATCGGTTGTAAGCACAGACGATGACCTAGCTTGACTTCAGAGACGAGTCTTGACCTCTGAGGTCTAAAACCAATAACCCTCCACTTCGGAATGGTAACCGAGCCACAGTCTGAAGTCTTTCTTCCTCCAGTCTGGAAGAACATCAAGATATCTTTACATGGATCAAGCTTGTATACTTGACCGTTTTTATATTACTTTTGTAAATATTCCTGTCCACATTCTACTTCAGCTTCGGATGTGGTTACCAAGTATCTAACCCTTGAGTTTCTAGACAGTATTGCCACATCTGGCCAAATATGCACTTTCCCTAGAAAGCCATATTCCAGCAAGGACACCCACTTGTGCTATAGTGTATTCCATCTGTACATACACTGTATAGGCCATCTGTAAATATCCCAGAGAACAATCACTATTCTTAAGCACTTTGAAAATATTTCTATGTAAATTATTGTAAACTTTTTCAATGGTTGGGACAATGGCAATAGGATAAAACGGGTTACTAAGATGAAATTGCCAAAAAATTTGTAAACTAATTTTGTACGTATGAATGAAATCTTTGACCTCAGTGGAGGTCTGCAAAGACTGAGTGTTCAAACTACTGTACATTTTTTTTCAAGTGCTAAAACAATTAAACCAAGCAGCTTAACCATGGTCTGTGCCTATTCCTCTAGGATAAACCTCTATCAGCAGCCTGAGTAGTATCAAGCATTCTAACTAAATATATGAGCTAGATGATATAGATCTTGATGTTGTGTAACCAGGCCTGTAAATTGGCTAGTTTCTCTCACAACCAAGTACTGAAAGAACAAGGTACCACTTAATATTCACTCCCAAAATATTTATTTTGTAAAAGAAGCTAGCTTAGCCTGTACCTAAAATTCCTCTTGTTTAGAGGCAAGTTCCTTTTCTGACTAATTTGTTTCCTGATCTAGAAACCTATGCTAAGATTTCTAGCAATTCTGCTTCTTCATACTGAAGTCTCTGTTTTCCATGTTCTGTCATTATATGTAGCTCCAGGACAAGTGCCTCCTTGTCCTTGAGCTTTTCCTTGAGCAAAGCGTGTCCATCTTTTATAAGTCTACACCATCTACCATGAAGAGAGCTAGAGAGGTAACGGGTAGCACCATTCTTGAACACTCTAAGGCAGTGGTTCTCAGTAGGGTTAACCTCTCCATCCCCTGGGAACTTGTTAAAAAGGCCACTTCCCAGATCTGCTGAGTGAGGGACTTGGGGGGTGGGGTCCAGGAATGTGTTTTCACAAGCCCTTCAGGTGATTCTGATGTCAACTACAGTTTGAAAACCACTGTTCCAGCGGGACTTCATGGAGAACCTATCTTCTCATTTTGCAGTCTGGCTGGCAGAAGATCCTTCTGTGGACAACGTCTGAAATTTTTAGTATGAAGAACAGATAAGGAATTTGGGCAGAACAAATAGGAGCACAGGGCTTTAAATAAGTTTTCCATCAGATTGGCCATTACTGCCTTTTTCTAAAGTCTCAAGATGTGAGCAAACAAGGGAAGACGTGAGGTTTGGAGCCCTGGGAAGATGCTCTAATTCCAAAGGGAGGTGGAGAGTCTGCTGTAGATGTGTTTCCTCTTGGGACACACTGACCAGTGCAGGAGCAAGAGGATGAAGAGATGTTCTGAGTAGCTAAATGGATGGGTGGATGACGCCTATTCTACTTGCTCATGGAATATAAGTAAGGCAGCTGACACCTTGCTTGTGGCTCAGGTGGAGACCAATGATCTTAGATGAAGTTGCTTCTGCCGTATTGTTTCATAGATACCCTGTTGTGATTTTGGTCAAATGGATGAAAGTGAAAGAACAGGCGTGGGCTTTTGTGTGTGTGTTGGGGGTGGGGGATGTATGCAAGTCTGGCATATAGAAGGAAGAGGCTATAGCTGTGAAGGAAGGACTCTGTGTTGTACATCTGTTGCTCCCTCTTCAAAAAGTCATTCCACTAAACAGGATGTGGTCTTCTGACAGAGTATCTGGAGTGCCCGTGTGATAAGTAGGTTAGTGTTCATCGTATCTCAACCCTGAAGGCCATTTGGTTGACCGAGACTTTGACCCTGCTATGATATAAACCCACCTATTTCTTTTTTTAATTGAAGCAATACAAAATTCCTACCTAGGAAGTTTGAAGATAGCAGTGTGTTCTCCCATTACAAGGACTGGTATAGTATTAATTAACGTCAAGGCCCAAAGCCATAGTTTTTAAGAATAAAATCAAGCATTATTCTCTATCATCTTCTCTTAGATTCCAATTCCTACTATGTTCTTTTAAGTTCTAGGTCCCACTACTCCAATCTTCAAAGAGTATAAAGTATTTCCTTCTTTTCCCCTTGCCCTACCTTAAGTAGCCAAGGACAGAAACCCACCTTAAGAGTTGAAAAAAATGAAGTAACTAGATATTTCTACTGAAATAAAAACAGTTAACATAGCTAGTCAATTCAGCTTGTACTAATAGTTCATGAGGACCTAAATAAAACCTTGGGCTTTAGTATCCAAATAAGAACTGTAAGAATCCTACATGAAGCATACTGGTGTAAATTTGCTATCTCTGTAGAGTTTACTAAAGAAGATGATAATTAGTTAAGAGGTAAAATAGGAAGCTTATCTAACACTAAAAGAGAGTGTTTGGAGTTAAATGTGTCACACAAAGTCACTGAACGTGGGTCCTCCAGAGACTTTAGGAATTGCTACCCAGATTGATAAGCGATGAGTAAACAAATATGTAGCATCTGGTAAAGAAATCCAGCCAAGTCCCTGAGTCCAAATTCTCAAGTGACCTTTATAAGCTATCTATTTGGCAAGAAAGAATCCCAGTTGTTCAACCAGCTCCCTGAAGACATTCTTATAGCTAAATTAGAGCCATGGCATCATCTTCAAGCCTACGGTGTTCTATTCTTGACGAACACAAGGCAAAAGAGAAAGAGAGAGAGAGAAGCTTCAACTTTGGCACTTCTGTTCCTTGTATCTTTGGAAGTCAGATACCCTTCTATAAAAGAAAAGAAAAAGAAGAAGAAAAAAATGAGAAGACAGGCTTTAAATAGCAAAACTATAGGACATTTAAAGAACTAACTCTTTAGTTTAATACTGAGAAGTGGGAGAACTAAAGTATACCTTTTAACTATCCTCACCCCCAAAGCAAAAGATTCTGGTGGAGTTTTCTTTGTCATGTAGTGTAACTAGAGGAATTTCCTAGAATTCTTACCTAGTAAAGTAGTTTATTCTTTTGAACCCAAACGGAAGCTGGAATCCTTGATTTTAGCAGCAGGGAAACCTGCAAGAAGCATATGCACTTTTGCTGTGATAACTTAGGTCCAAGAATTTAGAATACAACCTGCTAATCTTGATCACTGAGTTCGAGCTCCTCAGCTTCATCATCAAGTATCCAACCTGCCTCTTTGGAAAAACTGGGAATTCTGTGTTCATGTTTCTGCCATACCATGGACCTAAACTGTGGAGATTCAGGAATACATAGAAGTAGAAAAAGCCTTCAAATATACCTTGTTTCCAAATATAGGCAACTTTTGTGCATACACCATCCTTGTCTGCTTTCATAGATCAAAAGCTGAATCAGAGTTAGCAGTGGGGGTCCACAGGTATTAAGGAACAGAGGACAGCGGTGTCTCAACTCTCTATTGTATCTCCCAAATCCGTTGAGCATTTCCAAGCCTGGCTCATTCAAGAAACAGGGATGAAGTGGACCACTGACTGATAGTCCCCCTGTAAACCTACCACCCAGGGTCGTAGAAGCCAGCGTCAAACAGGCTGAAGGTGGGGGTACAGGCTCTGCAGGGGACCCTGGGCACATCAATAGTTTTCTTTTTCATTGCGCTTAAGGGGAAAGTTAGATTGTCAGCAAGGAAGTTCCCAAGCACGGACTCTGGTGTCAGTCTTGATGTGGTCGCTTGGGCAAGCTACTAATCCCCTTGGTGAATGGACAAGATGGGGACTGTGTTGTGCTATGGCGAAGGTTAGGAGAATGCAGAGAAGGGCTCAGCACGGTGTCTGGCATTTAGTGGGTACAAGGCAGGTGTTCCCGCTGGAGATCACTCTCGATGCTATGCCTCTCTTTGTGTTCATCGTGGTACGATCTAGAAACTGGTATGTGACTCTACCAGTCAGAGTTACAGTAACTTAACTCATTACTGAGCATAACATGCATTAGGCCTTGTCCCAAGGGTTTTCCACTACACCTGCCTGATGAGATCTATGTGGGACACTCAGGTAGTGATATCACCTTTATATAGTTAAAAAAAAAAAAAAAAAAGCTTCAAGGGTTACATGATTTAAACCCTAGACATGTAGGTGGCGTGTTTCTACCCCAACCTTTTGACTTTACTGCCTGGAACATGGACACAAGTATTTGGTGGCCTGCACAGTCTTTGCATGGCAGCTAAAGCACTTTGAATCTCCCTAAACTTCTTAATAGTTTAATAATGTGCTAAATAAATGCTGGCATGTATTTTATTTGATCTTCACAACAACCCAAATAGGTAGGTGTCTTCATTTTATAGATGTGGAAACTGAGACCACAGATAACATGGGGATTCCAAACCCTATGAGTTTACTGCCATCCCCTCTCAGAAAAGGAGGCAGAGCTGTGTAAAGGTTAAGCTGGACATCACACTGCATATTTGTGGAGTCCCTTTACTACTGATGGTAGGGTCCTTCAGCAGTTTCCCGGTGTCTCAGATGCCTTTAATGGCTAGCATCCAATATGGCGGCATACCAAGAGAATAACACTAGCACTACGTTAAGTCAGCGCGGAAGAACGTTGTTATGTGCCCATGCCTCAAGATGTCAGAAGTTCCAGAATTACTTTCCTTGTGAAGTAGAGGTAGGTTACTGGATTGCAAACTAAAAGACAAAGATCCCCTGAAGGAATTTATGGACATGCAACATCCCTCCTGTGTATGAAGATAATTGGGGAAACCAAGCTGTATCAAAACCAACTGTTCATCGTAAGGCTCTCATAAGGAAAGACATGCCCAAGAAGACAGGGAGAACTGTGACTTGGGTCAAGTGACTGATGGATCTTAGGTATTCTGGAATCAACCCCTGAGACCTGCTTATCTCATTATCACAGACACGCGGGGGGGGTGGGGGGGAAGAATTCTTCGCACAAAATGACTGGCTTTGAGAAAACTATCTGGCCCCTTTTAAAATGTCACTCAATACCAAAATGTGACTTAAGAGCATGTAATGGCCCAGGAGTCCAGAGCGTACAACCACATTACTGTCCTCAGGATCTTCAGAATTCTAGAAATACATGTTGGAATGCATCCAGTCCTGCTGACCTATAGATAAGCAGTTTTCTTTCATTAATGAACTGTGCATGTCACTTAAATAAAAGTTTATTTTTGAGATGACTGTCATAAGCCTTTCCTTTTTCTACACAACTTTCCAAAAAGCTTTTCCTCAAATCCTTCTCCTCTTTGCAACTGAATCACGGAAGATGGCTCGGTCACCCCTTCGTGGAAAACAGCTCAGGTCACCTAGATCTGGACTCATCAAGCTTAACGGATGGGAGATGTTCCCTTTCTTGCCATCCTTAGAAGTACAGTTAGTGTCTCCCTAGAGGTAGCCATAACATCACCCCCTCACACTCCTCCTTCCCACTCTTCCCATGGAAGAAATGA